AAAAAAAAAAAAAAAAAAGAAAAGTTACAGATAAATTACAATTTTTTGAATACCAGAATGAGGACTTCTGAAAATATAATCCTTTATAAAAGCAAGGAGAATACTAGCAAATTGCCAAATTGGCAAGAGAGGATTCTGGAAAGAATGCAGAGTGGGAAGCAACCACTAGGAATTTGGCTTCCTACCTAGACAAAAATTGCACTATCAGAACCTGTCCAATATAATTATTATGAGACTCTAGAGTCTATTGATGCTTTACAACATCCAGAGGAAGGCAAGAGTGGTAAATATCAGTTAATTTTGGTCCATTTCAGCTCTTAGCACAGTAGCAGCTACTCATCCCACAACAATGAGTCACATGACAGACATTTGTGCACACGTTTTTGGTGTAGCTTGCAAACAGCTTGTTGAAGCCAAGGCAGGCAAAAGGGATCTGTCTTTCAACTATGGGAGAATCTGTGCTCTAATCACTGATTGTTACTTCTGATCACAAAAGTGCAAACAAAGGGATCCTCTGTGATCAGAAAATGTGCTTGCACCAGCCATTGTTGTGTGCCCCTCCCTTCTTGCAAGCCTCCCCCCCACCCTTTGGCTGAAGTAATTTCCAGAAAATTTAAAGGGATAGTGACTTTTTCACTTTTCCCTTTCATTTTTTTTTTTTTGCTTGTTCCCCTCTTGAGATCTAGATATTAAATTCCTTATATATTCAAAAATAACTGCATATATGAGGAAAATTAGAAAGTGAGCACACATGCCCAGGGAGGAGCTCAGAAAAAACCTGAGAAGACCTTCACTTTATACCTAATGCTGATCTTTGGCACAGAAGATCAGCATGTAAAGAATGAATGATCTTTGGCACAGAAATAGCTTATAATAATTTTTTAAAAACAAAAACATGTACCAAAAAATATTCTCCCCTGGGGAAAGGGGAGAATATTCTTTCTAGAGTAACTGCCTTATTAGATTCAAAGTCTAATTTTCAACAAAAATTTGCAAGGAACAGAAATCTACAAAGGAACAGAAAAGTATAATGCATTCAAAGAAAAAAAAATGAATAAAAACTATCCCTGAAAACAAAGATCTGACTTAGGATCTACTAGACAAAGACTTTAAAAACAAATTATCTTTAAAATGCTCAAAGAACTAAAGTAAGATGTGGAGAAAGTCAAGAAAACAATGTATGAACAGAATGAAAATAGCAAGAAGTGACAGAAAACCTAAGAAGAAACCAAAAAGAAATTCTAGAGCTGAAAATACAATAATTGAAATAAAAAATTCGCTACAGGGATTCAAAGGCTGATTTGAGAAAGCAAAGCAGAAGAAAGAATAAAAAAATGTGAAGATAAGTTGATGGAAATTACTGAGCCTGGAAACAGAAAGAAAAACGACTGAAGAACTATGAACAGAGCCTACGGAGCCCATGGAACAGAGCCCAAGGGACCTCTGTTGGTATGAACAGACCATTGTGGGCGTGTCAGAATAGTTTTTCTTCTAAAAACTATTTGAAGAAATAATGACTGAAAACTTCCCAAATTTGATGAATATAAACATGTAAGAAGCTTAAAAACTCCATGTAAGATGAACTTAAACACACCTACAAAGAGACACAAATTAAATTTTCAGAAGACAAAGAGTCTCATTCTGTTGCCCAGGCTAGAGTGTGATGGTGTCATAGCTCATAGCAAACTTGAACTCCTGGGTTCAGGCAATTCTCCTGCTTCAGTCTCCCAAGCAGCTGGGGCAGCTACTTTTAGTAGAGACAGGGTCTTGCTCTTGCTCAGGCTAGTCTCAAACTCCTGAGCTCAAGCAATCTACCCATCCAACCCTCCCAGAGTGCTAGGATTATAGGCATAAGCCACCGCACTCAGACTATCTTGAAAGCAGCAAGAGATATGCAACTCTTCCCTGATATGATTAACAGACTATTTCTCACCAGAAACTGTGAAGCCCAGAAAGCAGTGGACCAATATACTTAATGTGCTAAAAGAAAAAAAAAAAATCTGTCAACCAAGAATTCTATATTCAGCAAAATTATTCCTCAAAAGTAAGGGAAATTGGGTGGTGCCTGTGGCTCAAAGAAATAGGGCACTGGCCCCATATGCTAGAGGTGGCAGGTTCAAATCCAGCCCCAGCAAAAAACTGCAAAAAAAAAGTAAGGGAAATTAAGACATATTCAAATAAACAAAAGCTGAAAGAATTTGTTACTGCTAAATGTCTCCTTTAAGAAATGCTAAAGGGACCAGATACAGTAACTCACACCTGTAATTCTAGCACTTTGGGAGACTGAAGCAGGAGGATTGCTTGTGACCTGAAATTTGAGATTAGTCTGAGCAAGAGCAAGACCCTGTCTGTACAAAAAATAGAAAAATTAGCCGGTGTGGTGGTATGCTTCTGTAGTCCCAGCTACCTAGGAGGCTGAGGCAGGAGGATTAAGTCTAGGAATCTGAGGTTGCTATGATGAAGCCACTGCACTCCAGCCTCAGTGACAGAATGAGATCTTTTTTTAAAAGGGTAAAGAAAAGTCCTGCAGGGTGTAATGAAAGGACTTTAGACAGTAACCTGAATCCAGATGAAGAAATAAAGATTACAATAAAGGTAAAGACATGTGGCTCTGTGCCTGTAGCACAGTGGTTACTGCGCCAGCCAATTGCACCAAGGCTGGTGGGTTTGAGCCCATCCTGAGCCAGCTAACCAACAATGAGAACTACAACAAAAAAATAGCTGGGTGCTATTGTGTGTGCCTGTAGTCCTAGCTACTTGGGAGGCAGAGGCAAGAGAATCGTTTGAGCCCAAGAATTTGAGTTTGCTGGGAATTATGATGCTGCAGCATTCTACTAAGGGTGACATAGTGAGACTCAGTCTCAAAAAAAATAGCCAGGTGGTCTCTGGGTGAACGCCCCAGTGGTCAGGACTGTGGCGGCAGCCTCATGGGGCCTTCTCCTCCCCTTTCCATTGACAACCGCCCCAACAGCTCTTCCCGCCCTTGTTGCAGTGGCTGTGCAGACCATGGTGTGGTCCCTACAAATGTGCTCCAGAGCTTGGGAGGATCTCGTACACTGAGTCCCTCCAAGGAGTGGGAAGGGCGAAGTCTTTTGAAGGCTCTTATCAAGAAATCCGTGCTGTGGTGAGTATCCTTCAGTCAGTCTCCAGGTCCTACCTTAGAAAGGAAGCTTGTGCACCAATCTTTGACCTGACCTCCTGTCTCCGCCTCAGTGGGGAGCAAGTCCACATCCTGGGCTGTGAAGTGAGTGAGGAAGAGTTTCATGAAGGTTTCAACTCAACTGTCTGGTTTACCATGACCTCTTCAGAGACCCTCTTAACTGGTCAAAAACTAAGGAGGCCCTTCCTAGGGGATCATGGGGAGCCTTGACAGCCATGTGCAGAAGGACAGATCCTGGTCCTGTCACCATTGCTCTTGATTCACTCAGTTGGCTTTTGCTTCACCTTCCCTGTACCACACTCTGCCAGACCCTGCATGCCCTGAGCCATCAGAACTCCTGCCCTGGTGACAGCTCCTCAGTGCGGCAGGTATATGTGCTGGGCTTGCTACATGAAGAGCTTCATGGCCCAGGCCCCCTGGGAGCATTGAGCAGCCTTGCTCAGACTGAGGTGACCCTTGAGGGTACAGTGGGCCAGGCTTCAGCCCACACCTTCTGTCAGAGGCCTCAGCAGTGCCCAACTCACCAGACTAACTGGTTCTCCATCTTTCCAGACTTCAGCCTGGATGTCCAAGAGGGACCATCTGTAGAATCTCAGCCCCACCCAGATCCTCATACATCCCTGATGGACCCCATGACTCATTTGACCTTTAACCTTCACCAAAGGTTAAAGGAAACCAAAGATAGCCTGACTCTGCCCTTCCAGTTCAGCTCTGAAAAACCACAGGCTCTACTGCACCCTGGGCAAGGCCAGGCTACCAGCCACATCTTCTATGAGCCAGATGCCTATGATGACCTAGACCAAGAAGACCCAGATGATGACCTAGATATTTGACTGGCCAGATTAAGTAAACTCTGATTGGTGGGGGAGGGGGAAGATCTTGAGCCTAGAGCTGTTTTTCATGTTGTTTGTGTTGCCCCACCTTTAATCCTTGTGTCTATGGAGGCTGTGCCCCCTATCCCAGGAAGGAGCTTGAGATAGTACAAAGAAAGATGAGAGCATAGGGTAAAGTGAGAGTGGAACACCCCCTCATGCCTAATAAAATCTTTTTTATAACAACAACAAAAAAAAAATAGTCAGGCATTGTGGCAGGCACCTGTAGTCCCAGCTACTTGGGAATTTGAGGCAAGAGAATCACCTAAGCCCTAGAGTTTGAGGTTGCTATGACCTCAGAGTGCTGTGTTGCCATAGCACTCTACCGAGGGTGACATAGTGAGTGAGACTCTGAAGATGGTGGTCTTCCCCTCTTTCTTGAATTTCTGTTCCTTACATGCTGAGTGATGGGATTTCTCCTGTAAAAAATGTGTGGCTGCACTTTTTCTCCACTTTCCTTATCTAGTCAGTAAAGGATGTTGCTGTTCACAACTACAACCTCCATCAACCAGAAGAATAAATTTTTCCATCATTTGTAGGATTTCCTTGTAAATCTGTAACATCCACAGTACTGATTATCTCTGTCCAGGCTTCCCATGAACTTTGTGTATTTTAAAATAACTTAATTTTTCAAATTGAACAGGCTGTTTTTTCCTATAACCAGTGACCAGTTGTGTTTCGGGGCCAAAGAATGTACTCAGAATTGTCACTAACCTCTTGTCATGGAATGAGAACCACACCAAAAAAGTGTCAGATGTCTTCCAATGTTGAAGGAGAACAGGAAGATCATTATGTTGGTCAAAGTCCAACATAGGATCAGAAAAGGTTAAAGTTAAATGAGGCCATAAAAATGGGGCCCTAATCTGAGAGAACTGGTGTCCTTGTAACAAGAGGAAGAAATCTCTTTTTCTCTTTCTCCCCTCCCCCCATGCATGCACAAAGTGAAGAAAGGCTATGTGAACACACACAGAGAAGGTGGTCATCTGCACACCAGGATGAAAATCTTTACCAGAACCTGTCCATACTGGCTCTAGAACTTTAAGAAAATAAATTCTGTTGTTTAAGCCACAGTCTACGGTACTTTGTTATGGCATCCCTGGCTAAGTAACAGAGGGCTGAACAGCAGTTTTGAATTGTCAAAAGAATCTTAAGGCTTACCAGGCACGGTAGCTCACACCTGTAATCCCAGCACTCCAGGAGGCCAAGGCTGGTGGATTACTTGAACTCAGGAGTTTGAGATCGGCCTGAGCAAGAATAAGACCCTGTCTCTACTAAAAATAAAAAAATTAGCTAGGTATGGTGGTGCAGGCCTGTAGTCCCAGATACTCAGGAGGCTGAGGCAAGGGGATCCCTTGAGCTCAAGAATTTGAAGTTACTGTGAGCTATGATGCCATGGCACTCCACCAGGGCAACAGAGTGCGACTCTGTCTAAGAGGAAAACAATCATAAAACATGAAGTCAAATGAGATTATCCAGGCTAAAGAACAGAAAGGAAAAATAATGAAGGAAATGAACAGAACCTCAGACACCTATGAGACACATTAAATGTACCAACATACACATAAATAGGAGCTTCATAACAGAGAGGAGAGAGTTAGGAACAGAAATAATATTTATAGAAATAATTGTCAAAAACTTATCATTTTGCTGAGAATGACTAATCTACACATCCAAGAAGCTCAATGACCTCCACATAAGATAAACTCAGAGATACACATTCAGATGTATCATCGTCAAAGTGTTAAAACACAGAGAGAATCTTGAAAGCAGCAAGAGAGAAGCAACTCAAGGGATCCTTAATAGCTGACTTCTCATTAAAAACCATTTCAGCCATGGTGGAATGAAATATTAAAATGACGAAAGAAAAAGACTCTTAACATATATATATATATATACATGAATATATACTCATATACATACAGAGAAACTACCTTCCAAAATGAGGGAGAAATAAAGACATTTCTAGATAAACAAATGAGAGAATTTTACAGCAAACCTACCTTATAAAAAACACTGAAAAGAATCTTTTGGGCTAAAATGAAAAAACACTAGAGATTGTGGCAGGCACCTGTAGTCTCAGCTACTGGGAGACTGAGGCAAGAGAATCGCTTAAGCCCAGGAGTTTGAGGTAACTGTGAACTATGATGCCACAGTACTCTACCAAGGGCGACATAGTGAGACTCTGTCTCAAAAACAAACAACAACAAAAGAATTACAGAGTAAACTGAAACCACACACAGAAAAATGCAGATGTTCTTCAACTAATGATGAGATTACATGCCAATAAATTCATCCTAAATTGAAAATACCATGTCAAAAATGCATTTAATACTCAGATAAACCAATTTTATTTTATTTTTTATTTTTTTTGTAGAGACAGAGTCTCACTTTGTCACCCTTAGTAGAGTGCCATGGCGTCACAGTTCACAGCAACCTCCAACTCCTGGGCTTAGGCGATTCTCCTGCCTCAGTCTCCTGAGTATCTGGGAGATAAACCAATTTTAAACTCAAAAATTGCAAGTCAAACAATTGTCTGTTGTAGACCATCTGTACATAGCACTATTGTAGTGGAAGTAGACAAAAAATAGGGAAAGAAATTATACTCAGTAGTCTGTCTTATACGCCCTCTAATACTCATCCTTGTCTCCTAAGCAGAAAAATCAAGTAAGAGCAGCTTGAAAAGATAAATTTTTTTCTTTAAAGAATAAATAAGTGCCAAAATAAACTATACAGAGAATAACGTTCACTAGATCAATAAAAAGAGTATTTTAAAATTTCAAATAATCCAAAAGAAGGCAAGAAAGAGAAAAAGTGGTATGAAAAATAGAACAAACGGAAAACAAATAATAAAATAGTAGACCTAAGTCTGAACATATCAATAATTACATTAAATGTTAATAGTATAACACACTAATAAAAAGACAGAGATTGTAGAAGAATTTTTTAAAAATTAAGAACCAACTATATGCTGTGTACAAGAAATCTACCTTAAATGTAACAGTATATAGGTAGATAAAAGGAAAATAAAATGATACAACATGCAAATAATAATCAAAAGAAAGCTGATGTGTCTATGACAATATTAGCCAAAGTAGACTTCAGAGAGAGGAAAATTATCAGGGATAAAGACAGGCATTGCATAATGTTAAAAGGATCAAATCATCAAGAAATTATAACAGTCCTAAATACATATGCATGTAACAACAGACCTTCAAAATAAATGAAGCAAAGACTGATAGAAATGAAAGAAAAAATGAACAACTCTCTAATTATTGTTGGATTATTATTGTTGGGTATTATTTAATACCCATCTCTCAGTAATCATGGGAAGAAGTCGGCAAGGATCTGGAAAAGCTGAACAACCTTATCAACCAATTGGATTTAACTGACCCCTGTAGAACATTCCATCCATCAACAGGAAAATACACTTGTGCACCAATATGGGCCATATCCTGGATCATAACACAAACCTTAACAAATTTAAAAGAACTGAAATCATATGAAGCAAACTTTCTGACTAGATGGCATTCAAGGAGAATCAATAACAGAAAGATAACTGGAAATTTTCCAAATACTTGGAAATTAAATGATTTTAAATAATTATTCAGAATAATTCACAGGTCAAAGATGTTTCAAGGTAAAGTAGAAAATGCTTTGAGTAAACTCAAAATGAAAATATATCCTAGCATGCTGGGAGGCCAAGGCCAGTAGATTGCATAGACTCAAGACCAACCTGAGCCAAGTGCGAGACCCCATCTCTAAAAAATAGCTGGGGTTGTGGCAGGCAACTGTAGTCCCAGCTACTTGGGAGGCTGAGACAAGAGAATTGCTTAAGCCCAAGAGTCTGAGGTTGCTGTGAGCTATGACGCTACGGCACTCTACCGAGGGCGACAAAGTGAGACTGCCTCAAAAAAAATAAAGTAAAATAAAAATGAAAATATATCATATAAAAATTGACAGGATGCAGCTAGAGCATGCTGAGGAGGAAATTTTATACTATTTAAGTGTATTTATAAGAAAGGAAGAAAGATCCCAATTCAACAGTCAAAACTTCTACCTAAGAAATTAGAAAAATAAGAACTAATAAGCCCAAAGCAAGCAAAGAAAGGAAATAATGAAAACACAGGCATAAATTAGTGAAATTCAACACAGAAAAACAAGAGAGAAAAATTAAGAAACCAAAAGCTAGTTCTTTGGCTTAGCACCTGTAGCTCAGTGAGTAGGGCGCCAGCCACATACACTGAGGCTGGCAGGTTCGAGCTGGCCTAAGCCTGCTAAAAACAACGACACCTGCAATCAAAAAATAGCCAGGCATTGTGGTGGGTGCCTGAAATCCCAGCTACTTGGGAGGCTGAGGCAAGAGAATCGCTTAAGCCCAAGAGTTTGTGGTTGCTGTGAGCTGTGATGCCACAGAACTCTACTGAGGGTGACAGCTTGAAACTCTGTCTCAAAAAAAAAAGCTAGTTCTTTGAAAAGATTAGTAATGTTGGCGGTGCCTGTGGCTCAGTGGGTAGGGTGCTGGCCCCATATACTGAGGGTGGCGGGTTCAAACCTGGTGTTTGAAAAAATAGCCTGGTGTTGTGGTGGGCACCTGTGGTCCCAACTACTTGGGAGACTGAGGCAAGAGAATTGCCTAAGCCCAAGAGCTGGAGGCTGCTGTGAGCTGTGACACCACAGCACTCTACCAAGGGCGACAAAGTGAGATTCTGTCTCTTAAAAAAAAAAAAATTAGTAAAGTTAATAAACTTCTAATCAGACTGACAGAAAAAAAAAGAAGATACAAATTACTAATATCAAGAATGAAGAGGGGTTATCTTTGTGGTTCCTGCAAACATTTGAAAGTCAATAGGTAATACTAACAACGTCTCTGCAAACGTTTAAGTGGACCAATTGATACGGGCCAATTCCTTAAAAACTGCCAACTATAAAAACTCATCCAAGAAGGAAACAGATAACCTGAT